CACACCATAAATGAAGCACCAATTGTTTATAAAGTTATAGCTTAAACCACGTGCAGTGCAGGTTAAGTTTCTAGTTAATTGCACAAATTAGGATGCAAATTTATTGGCTGGATTTTTGTACATAAACTTAGGCCCCAGATAAAAACAAATAAATAACACCATGATTTCTGACTACAAGTCACTGTAAGTACTTACACTCCCTGCAACTGTGAGCAATTCCCTAATTCTGATGGAATTGTCCCATAGAAGTTGTTGTCATGTAGAGCTCTGTAAAATGATAAATTGCTAGCATTAGATTTACTAACAAGCCTAATTATACTCATATGCATCAACGACCTAAGAAACAATAGAAGTACATACAAAACTTTTAGGTGGTCAAGCTTTCCAAGTTCACGGGACAAAGATCCACTAAGTCTGTGATAAGGAAGACTCCTGCAAGATACCCAAATAAGATTCTTAAAAATAAGTAAATAAATAAATATTTGAAATCTATGGATGAACTTCACTAGGTAGTAAAATAATCAAATGGAATATCATGATCATAAGCTAGTGCTATGACAAGAACTTAAGCCAACATTTACTAAGTGCAACTTGATTCTACAACAACTTCATATAATCAATCAGTATTTCACTTCACACTATCTTTTATCTAATTTGGAGATTGATGAATTCTTAGAAATTTTGTAGGTCATGTCTCTTAGAAATTCCTGTCCTACCTTTTTCTACATCCATTTATATTGGTATTCAAGAGTATTAAATTCCTTACTGGAAGAAAAAATAATAAAATATTAAAAAAAATAATCAGTGAATAAGTAGAAAAGTATTTATCACCAAGATGGGAGAAATATGATCTTTAGTACTGTGAAAGTCAAATTAAAAAAAAGGGAGAGAGAGAGAGAGAGAGAGAGAGAGAGAGAGGTTGAAAACCACCAAAGGTGCATTTGAAAAAAGAACTCACAGGTATATCACTCTCTTGGTTTTTGGATCACACTTTACCCCTTTCCAGTTACAAGGATGGGGTTCCTCTGGTTTCCATTGAAGAAGAACACCATCAGAATCGAGAATTGCTGCTCTGAAGCTCAAAAGTGCCTCACCTACAATGAATATGAAATACCAAGCATTGAGAAAAAGAGAGATCATAATGTGCAGGTATCTCTAGAAAAAAAGGGTAAGAGCACTGTTCTTGCACAATGACAATATAGCCACATAGGTGCACAAGAGCATTACAGGGGTTCCATTTTTTGGAACTCAAGGACACAGTAGTACAACTTGTAGAACAAATCATGTTAAAGTAAAGTCGTGCATTACATGGGTTGTATTACAAAATGAAAAACTCTCCCACTGATCTAACTCTTCATCACAAGAACAAGGGCTCTTTGTCCACCTCCAGGCTCCAGGTGATTGCGTGCTTATAAATTGTAATCAATGATAAAAACCTTTTTTTTTTTTTTTTGAGAAAACGCATAATGATAGTTGAATTTTCTAAGAACGTAAGGACAAACACAAAAACGTGCCTTCAGTTCATTAATTTTTAATTAAATGGTGGGGGGCAGTGGTCAAAAACACAAAAGCATGTCGTCTGTCTGTTCTTTTCTAAGTAAATGGCAAGAGGCAGGAATTAAAGCTAACAACGTAAATAGGGAGGAAAAAAAAGTTAAAGTCATATGATCATGTCCTATGAGTTCTCCAACTCTATATGTTGTAGAGTGAGGCATTAAACTAGTAAGATTAAGCAAGGTGACAGATATCAAGGAACCAAGAGTTAGTATCATGGTGCTATTCGGGGCTCAAACGTGCATCAAGAAACATTCTCCCAGTGATTAAAATACCTAGAAACATTTCCTCAGTTGATTTAACACCTAGACATACTCAACATTTAAAAGCAAAGGAAGATAAATCATACCATCGGAACTGATACCACTGCTTCTGCTCATTATAATGCAAAGGGGTATGAGGTGAAGAATCGGTAGCCATTGCGATTTTACCATATCGAAGCCCATGGTGGCACCAATCGAGCATAATACAATTACAACAAACCATCTGAGATATCAAATACTGTACTGGTTTTCTTGAACATATGGTAATCTGGTAACAACAAGCTGCCGCGAGGAAAATTACGCCTGGCATGGAGAAAGCTGCTTAATCTTAACAGAAAGTTATGGATATACATATCATACGCTTCAGGATTCCTTCCATTAGAATTCACCACAAATGTTAACAAAATTCTGGCCCACGATCTAATATAATATTATGTTGCCACTGGAACTAGAAGCCACAACATAAAAAAATAAAGAACTAATTATATATTTTTTTAAAGAAAAATAAAGGTTCAAGGAAAATTCAACAACCATCACCATTAAAGCAAAAGACATTGCATACTACTCGAATTTCCAGAGAATTTGACTTCCTTCAATCAGTACTCCCTAGGCCATGCAATTCATATAATCATATTCCAAGGCCCGACGGCATAAAAACATCAATACTATTATACTTTACAGAAACCATTCGCACTTGAAGCAGCAGAAGTAGAAACAATTTCAGCTCAAACAACCGAAGCTCTGCCTCCTCTCACCTTCAACCGCACTAGTTCAACAGTCCAAGCAAAGTGAACTGATCCAACAAATCACATTAAACTCAACAACTACGCAGCTAAAAAGGCCATGAAAGGCGAAAACAACAGCCAGCCAAGTGAAAATCAATCAATGATTGCAGAAACATGACACGAATCCGAGCACGACAATTCTCTGCAAAATTAGAACTAAATGTGGCAATTGGAACTGAAATTCGAACCTGCAAACGGATCCAAGATCCAGCAGGCGTAAATGCAGATGAAGCGGTGAATGTGACGCTAAAGAAAACAAAATTCGCCGAGAGTTTGCTGGTAGTCGCAAGAGATTCCTCAGAGACAAGAGAGTATGAGTGAGTGGGAGTGGAACTGTAGAGATGGGAATTGAGAAGGGGGCACCGGCACAGCCAATCAGAAGGAAGTACACTCACACGTGTGAAACGGAACTTGCACACGTGCAACCGACGCCTTTACCTGTCCCGCCCCTTTACGCTGAATCGGACACCAAATCTCTCCCATCTGTAAACCTGTCCCTCCATTAATATCTCCCACTTTTGTTAATACTAATAAGTAAACACTTGTAATGTAAAATTTCATAATTTTTATTTCGACGTTTAAAAAATATAAAAATTAATTAAATAGTTGTACTAAAATAATAATAATAATAATAATTAAATAGTTAAAATTTTTAATATAATTTGACATTTTTATCCTTCAAGGCTTGTCTCGCCATGTCAATAATTCTAATCGCCTACCGATCTGATTAGTGTGACTACAAATATTATTGCGTAATTACTTACATTTTTTCTCCTAAAAAAAGTATATTGTCATGGATTTTTCATCATTTTTCTCTATGACATTGCATAAAATGAAATAAATTGTTGAGAGAGAAGAAATTAATTTCAGAAAAATGGAATCCGTAAGAATTGAGATAAAATATTTTGAAAGAAATGAAAGAGTAATAATAATTGCTAAAAAAGTTTTAAGAAATTTTAGTCGATAAGATAGCTCAAATAGTATGTTTTGAGAAATAAATTTTTATTATCAATACTAGCATAGTTTAATGAATAAGATTATGCTAAAAAAACATTCGTTCAACTAAAAAAAATCAGGGTCTAAATTCTATTTTTTTACTATCGACTTTAATTTATTTTGGTTATTGTATTTTAAAACATAAATTTTTATCCACCTACATACAACATTTGTTAATTTTAGTGGCTACCTTTCAAATATTCATATTGATTTATGTAATTTTAAAAAAAATATCATTTTGATATGTTAATTTTTATTGTTATCTCATTTATTTTGACAATAATTTTAACATCATATTTCAGTCATTAAATTTGTTGAAATATAATCATAAATTTATATTAAAATTTTACAGTTGCGTTGAAAGGTTACAAATGCATATCAAAATAATCACTTTAGTATTGCTATTCGTGTTCCTACTATGTTATTTTGTCACATACCATCTAGTTACTTAATATTCGTTTTCAATTAGATCACAKATTCAAATAACATAAGTCGAATAATATTTGTTATTCCTATATGATATTTTTGTCACACACTATCCAGTTACTTGATATTCGTTTTAAACTTTGACCATTTTGAAAGATATGAACTACAATTAACAAATGTTGAAAGTACGTGAATAAAAATTAAATTTGGACACAACCTAATATAGTAATATGACTGTTTTAAACAAGTTCATATACTACATTGTGAAATTTTACTTACAAAATAAGTAAATAGATATTTAATTAAAATTATAAAAACGAAAATCTACCTTTTAAAGTTAGAGTAAACATGGAAGATGAAATAACCAAAATAAAATTTAAACCTAACAAATTTCAGTCCACCTAGCTCAAATAGTAATAATTTTCACCTTGGTTGAGTGGTTTGAATGCGATTTTTACACGAGCCTGGGTGTGATTTTAGGTAAATGTTGTTTCGGATATTTTTTCCAGTTTAAAATTTTAACATTTACATGAAAAAATATCATAAAAATAGAAATTTGGATATAAAAGATAATTAAACTTAGGTTCATAGGATTTTTGAGACGTGCCGAGACTTTTTATTTTTTGTAATATTCACGTATAATATATATTACAAAATGTGACTTCAACTGAAATTTACCTCAAATCATAGAAACTTATATGTGAATCAATGATTTCAAGCAAAATTTAGTTCCCTGACCATGCATTTATTTGCTCACAATCAACATTTTATTTCATAACAAAACCGTACAATACAAATTTTAAGGTGAATTATGGGTTAGATCTCGATTGAAAGATGGAACAGTGGCAGTAACAATTCTAGTATGAAAAAAAAATATAGCAAAATGAAAGAAATAAAAGGAAAAATGGGAGAAACAGTCGATGGAAATCGAAAATATGAGAGCCTTATCTGCTCGAACGTTAATCGATAGGCTGGGAGAAAGCCACACACGCTCGCAGCCCCATCTCCCAGAAGCCCACCACCAAATTTTTAGCTTCCTTTGCCTTCACCACCATATGTTTTCAAAACATTCCTCATCCACTGGAGAACCTCTCACAGTCTTAAAACTTCTATCTCTCTCACTTTCAGTCCCTTCTTCTGCTCTCTAAAACTGTTCCAATTCAACCCAAAATCTTCTTCTTCCATAGCCAGTGCATGCTCCTAGAGGTAAGACATTCATTCTGCTCATTACCCAGTTTTTGATATTGGGTTTCCATTTTGATTCGAGCGAGCTACTTTTTGATCGTCTTTTGTACTTCTCTTGTAAATTTTGGGAATTCCATTTTGTTGGGTCAGCTTGAATTCTGCGCCTAAGAACAACTAAGAGAATTCGAATTTTGTTGGACCCATTTGGAGAGACTGATTACACGCCAGAGGGCAATTTTGGTTGATGGGTTTGTTTGGAGCCATTGATTAGTCAGGAGAGAAGAGACCCTAATGCTGATTTTAGTTGGAAATATGCAAGGAACAGGAACCATGGCGTCTGTGGCTTCCCTGTTCAATTTGGCAGGTGTTGAGAAGCCCCGTTCACAGTTTCGTGGAGTTTGTTTGTCCAGAAGAGGAATTAAGGGAAGTAATAAATGGTACTATGTATCATTTCCTCTCTGTAAATATTCAGCTACAACGACAACTGATTTTGTTGCCGACCAAGGCAATGCCGTCTCTGTTGATTCTAATTCTTATAGAAGAAGTAAAGAAGATGATAGTACCGATTTTCTACTGAAGCCAGCCCCCAAGCCAGTATTGAAAGCTGCAGAGTCTAAGCCCCTTGTGGGATTGAATAAAGCAGCCTGGGAATCTCCGAGAACTAACGGGGATTATAACAGTAACAGCAAATTGTTGGATGTTGAAGAGGAAAGGAGCAAGGTAATTGAGTCTCTTGGAGAGGTATTAGAAAAGGCTGAAAAGTTGGAGTCACCGAAGTCGGCTAATAAGAGACAGGGACGAGGTGTAGATAAGCCTACACCAACAAACTCAAGCTCTGATATGAAGCCAATAAACTCGATGGCAAATCGGAAATCCAAAACTTTGAAAAGTGTTTGGCGTAAGGGAGATTCAGTTGCATCGGTGCAGAAGGTTGTGGAAGAACCATCTAAGGCTAATGGTGAGGTCGAAGCTAAACTGGGAGGAGCTAGCGAGGTAGAGCCTCAATCACGTGCCGCTTTTAGACCCCCTCAACCACCTGTGAGACCACAACCAAAATTACAAGCAAAACCGTTGGCAGGGCCCCGGCCTGTGTTAAAGAAACCAGTTGTCTTGAAGGATGTGGGGGCAGCAACTGGGGTAGCAGATGATGAAACTAATGCAGCAGCAAAGACAAAAGAGAGAAAGCCAATTCTGATTGACAAGTATGCTTCAAAGAAACCTGTGGTTGATCCCTTTATTTCTGAAGCCGTATTAGCCCCGACAAAACCTGGAAAAGCCCCTCCCCCCGGAAAGTTCAAGGATGACTACCGCAAGAAGAATGTTTCATCAGGAGGTCCACGAAGGAGAATGGTCGATGACAAAGATGATGTTGAAATCCCTGATGATGTTTCCATTCCTAGTGTGACTACAGCACGAAAAGGAAGGAAATGGAGCAAGGCAAGCCGGAAAGCAGCCAGACTTCAAGCTTCTAAAGATGCAGCTCCTGTGAAAGTTGAAATTCTAGAAGTTGAAGAAAGTGGTATGTTACTTGAGGAATTGGCCTACAACTTGGCCATCAGCGAGGGTGAAATTCTTGGGTATTTATATGCAAAGGGGATTAAGCCTGATGGCGTGCAAACTTTAGATAAAGATATAGTGAAGATGATTTGCAAAGAGTATGATGTGGAGACCATAGATGTTGATCCGGTTAAAGTTGAAGAATTGGCTAGAAAGAGAGAGATATTTGATGAAGAAGATCTAGATAAACTTCAAAGCAGGCCTCCAGTCATTACCATTATGGGACATGTAGACCATGGGAAGGTAGTTTTCTCCCTTTAGTTTTGAGATTTTCTCTTAATGCTGAAGTTCTTCATTCATTCCTGGAATTTGAAAAGGTAAGCTTCGAAATTTTCTTTTATAACTAATAAATCTTACTTTTCTCCTCTCTTGGCAGACTACACTTTTGGACCACATCCGCAGGACCAAGGTAAATGTGCAAGCATAATCATCTTTCTTGATGCGGTCACATTCTGGAATAGTGTTTTGAAGGTCTAATGGTTATGGGTAGAGTTGTTACTTATTTTTCTTTTGTTGAAATTGAGACCATTCGTCTTCTTTCTTCTTATTCATGGAAAATTTCTTGAGGGTAGGGGATGAAGATGGATGCACTTTTTTTTTTTCCTTTTCTTTTTGGGCATTGCGATATTTTAAATCTTTTGTAAATGATTCTAGTATTTTAGACATGTCACCACTAAAGTTCAAGTGCTACTCTTCAACAGGTAGCTGCTTCAGAAGCTGGTGGGATTACTCAAGGAATTGGTGCTTATAAGGTGTTGGTACCACTTGATGGCAAGTTGCAGCCATGTGTGTTCCTTGATACTCCGGGGCATGAGGTACTACCATGCACAATCCATATCCATACTTCAACCATGCATCGCCTTTCTAAAAATGTGGCATTTCCATGCTCTTTTCAGCTTTTTCTATGTACTCACTGATTAAAATTTTGGACAACTTGTTATCCATTGCTTTTCTTTATGGCGTAATTTTCTTAGATTGTATATACCATGCCTGAGTTCAGATGATGTATAATGTCCATTCTTGTAGGCGTTTGGAGCCATGAGAGCTCGTGGTGCTCGGGTGACAGACATTGCCATCATTGTGGTGGCTGCTGACGATGGAATCCGGCCTCAAACTAATGAGGCTATAGCCCATGCCAGAGCAGCAGGGGTACCCATAGTGATCGCGATAAATAAGGCATGTTAACATTAAAATACCTCTCCTAGCACCTCCACTCAATAATTGAGTACAAATGTTTATAGAATAAAAGATAAATGTTGTAGCATAGGCATATTGTATGTCCCAGTAATAGCTTAGAAATTATTGACCATATCTCATTTCCTCCATATTTTTCCAGATCGACAAAGATGGAGCGAATGCAGACAGAGTGATGCAAGAGCTTTCCTCCATTGGTTTAATGCCAGAAGACTGGGGTGGTGACATTGCTATGGTGCAGGTGAATATATCTAAAATGGAGAAATTAACCTTGCATATGTTAGTGGTGTAATCTATTTGGAAACTTACACTCTAATATTTTTCCACAGATTAGTGCTCTTAAAGGGCTGAATGTGGATGATCTGTTGGAAACAGTAATGCTTCTTGCTGAGGTAAGCAAAATGTAAAACTATGTTGGTTTTACTATTTTTGCATCTTGGAATACCCAATTCTGGTGGCTGTCTTCATCATCATCATCGTTATTTACAGGAGATTTTCAAACTTCTGCCCCATTTCTCTCATATACACACTGCAAGAGAAATAGGGACAGTTGTCATGTGTTCTTTTGACTGTGGCAATTTTCATAAATACCGAGTGAAGAATTTCAAATCTATTTTCTTAGCATTTTTTCTCACGGTATCTTTCCTTAGGATGTGGAGGCTTTCTTAAGTACTGTAAGAATCAGTTGTCTTGATATTTAGCTTTCTAAACCATTCCCAATCCCGGTACTAGTTTCTTTTTAGTTTTTCATGCAATACTTCCCCCTTTGAGTACTTCAAATCCAAAAAAATTATGTACTTGTTTGTGTTGCTGACAAAAGCGGTCAATTTTATGTCTATGTCGTAAAATTAATAGCTTATGTCAGTGACGATGATTGAGGAGGTGGTGTTGTTTTCCCCTTTCTAGGATAGAGGGATTCTATTGTGGCAAATATATATATATATATTTTTGCGCCTATTTTGTGGAATATTTAGATCAAGAGGAATAGTAAGACTTTTAGGGGTGGAGAGGTCTTGGGAGGAAATTTAGGGGCTTTTTAGATTTAATACCGATTTGTAGGTATCGGTTTCTAAGGCTCTTTGTAATGAGTAGTTAGGTGTCATTCTTTTGGATTGGAGCTACAATAAGTGGATCCCCTTTTGTCGGGCTTGTTTTTTGTATGCACATTGTATATTCTTTCATTTATCCTCATAGCTCGATTTCATATCAATTTTTTTTCTACCTGTGTTGTACCTTTCCTTTTGATGGTATGAGACCTGATTATAAATTGATAAATTGATGATAAATCCAATTGCAATCTCACCATGGCTGGAAATATTTTGGCTCGTTGAAGGCATGCCCTGTATCGTGCTTAGCTCAGCCGTCAGTACCTTATAACCTCACTCTCTAAAATTTACCTGCCCTCATAGTTTGATTCATTTTCTTTTAGCATTTGGAAACAATATGCTGAAACTTATGTTAGAATAATTTCCCTCTGCTTTTTTTCCTCTTCTCTAATAAACTTTTCCACGCATGCTATCAAATTTTGTCAATTTTCAGCTGCAAGAGTTGAAGGCTAATCCTGATAGAAGTGCGAAAGGGACAGTCATTGAGGCAGGTCTTGACAAATCAAAAGGACCATTTGCTACCTTTATTGTACAGAATGGAACCCTTAAAAGGGGTGACATTGTAGTATGTGGGGAGGCCTTTGGGAAGGTAGGTTCTTTAAGATTTTGAAATTTGGAACTGCTTTTTTGTTATATATTTGTTGTCAATACAGAAATAATTGTAAAGAGGTTCTGCATTAAGTTTTCTCTTGTCCTTTGTTCTTATTTATTTATTAATTTCTTTGTTGTTGTTGATGTCAATCATTTCTGAAGAGTTAGTTTGCATATGTTAGGTGAGAGCTTTATTTGACGACGGCGGGAAACGAGTTGATGAAGCGGGACCTTCTTTACCAGTACAGGTTTGTGGATTATTACTACTTGCTGTTTAATAATCCCATTTTTTCTTGACCGTCTTGAACTTCATCCTCCTGTGCTGATAGTCTGATTCAGTAGTTTCCCCAATTTCTTAATCTGTGTACAGGTCATTGGATTAAATATTGTGCCGATCGCTGGTGATGAATTTGAGGTTGTCGATTCTCTCGACACAGCTCGTGAAAAGGCAGAGTTACGTGCCGAGTCCCTGCGGTCACAACGAATTTCTGATAAGGCTGGAGATGGGAAGATTACCCTTTCTTCTTTTGCATCAGCAGTTTCATCAGGAAAGCAGTCTGGGTTAGACTTGCACCAGCTGAACATAATTATGAAAGTGGATGTTCAGGTACATAGAGGAGGACATTTTCTTTCTTACGCTCATAACCTACAATGGGTTTAATAAAATTGAAAATTGTGCAAATTATGCATTTTTAAATATTTTTAGTTGTTTTGAAGTGGTAATATGCAATTGTCCTGTCTGTTTAGATTAATCTGTATCTTATTTAGAACCCCTTTTTTCTCTTGCTTGCTGGTTGAAATTGAGCTATATCTTGATGCATGGGGGCCTCTTGGGCATGGATTCAAACACTAAGCATGAATTCATATTGAGTTTGGATCTTAACTTTAAATTTAAATCTCAACTAGTGTCAAAATTTCTTGGCAAGGGAAAAAATTTTTCAGGATAAGGGCAAAATTCTTTGGCATGCATGTTTTTCACCATGGGGTGTATGGTTTGAGAGAAACAGTAGAATTTTTAGAGGGTTTGGAGAGGCGTTGGGAGGCTACTTGAGAGCTTATAAGATTTAATACTTTTTTGTGGGCTTCGGTAATTTTGTTATTATTAGTTAAGCGTTTTTCTGGGGGATTGGAGCTCCTTTTTTAGGCTTTACTTCCTTTTGTTGGGTTAGTATATATATATATTTTGTATGCCCTCGTACATTATTTCTTTCATATATCTTAATGAAAGCTCGGTTTCTTATTAAAAAAAAAAATTCTTGGCAAGGCCAATAAAAAATGTCTTGAGGCAAAATTTATTGTACTTGAATTTATTTCTGGTCTTTTGTTCTGTTGGTCGGAATGCATTCAATACTATAAGTTTATTGGATGATCAGTGAAGTTTTTGCTTACCTTTATTTTGTTATTTAATTGTTGATAATGACTAGGGATCAATTGAGGCTATTAGACAAGCCCTTCAGGTGCTCCCACAAGATAATGTCACCTTGAAGTTTCTTTTGCAAGCAACTGGTGATGTGAGCTCCAGTGACATTGATCTTGCAGTTGCAAGCAAAGCCATAATTTTGGGATTTAATGTAAGAGCACCAGGCTCTGTGAAGAGTTATGCAGATAATAAAGGTGTCGAGATCAGGCTCTATAGAGTCATCTACGAGCTTATCGATGACGTGCGGAATGCAATGGAAGGACTCTTAGAGCCCGTAGAGGTCAGTACTTAAGTTTTGCATTTTTTAGTGGCTATAGATATTGAACAGTAGCTAAAACTTGGCCTTTTGTAATTATGGTGTCTCTAGAATTTTTGCCAACTCGAAGTTTTTCTCATAGCCCTATGGCTTGTGGGGATACGTCATCTCCCCCTTTTGTTCTCTCCTTTTGGTAATGAAAGTTAAGTTCTTAAAAAAAAAAAAACCGCTAAACTTCACCTAAATACATCTCAAAAACAATTTAGCTTGTTGGCTTGAACCTTCAACACTATCTTCGTTGTTTTATTCTTTTTTGTATTTAAATTGATTTGCTATGTCCGTGCCGTGGTGTAAGAAATGGTGTTCACTGTTTTTTGGTCTAAATTTCTCTCTAACTTCTATAACTAAAGATGTATAGCTGAGATCTGTCGTTTGTGTTCGGTAGGAGAAAGTACCAATAGGGTCAGCAGAAGTTCGTGCAGTATTCAGTAGTGGCAGTGGTATTGTTGCTGGATGCATGGTAGTGGAAGGAAAGTTGGTAAAGGGATGTGGCGTTCGGGTTCTTCGAAAGGGTAAAACAGCATATGTTGGCCGACTTGATTCGCTGAGACGGGTTAAGGAAATTGTGAAAGTGGTATGCGGTTAATTCCTGTACAACTTTTTCTGCAGTCTACACATTGTTTTTTTATTGGATAAGACATGGTTTTAAGGAGAGGAGGTTGTAAGGAATCTATCCCTAATCCATTGCAAATAACTCTCCAATGTGTCTGAATAAAAAAGAGAACTCTAACAAAAATGTTCAGATAAAAGAAATGATTATTCATGAGGAGCACCAATGATAGTTGATAAAAGAAATGTTATTCTTCCTCCCATTTGTCTAGATCGCTATTTTCGACTCGATACCACAGCATGTTATAATAATATCCACTATCCAGTTATCTCCTTTGACTGGGATCATGCCTAATTTGAGCTTAGTTTCCTATATAAATTTTATATTCATGATTTTAATTATAAGATAATGATGTGGGAGAGCTTCTGAGAAAGGAGATACAGTAGACTTTAAGAATATATTGGCATACTCTGGATAATAGTCATAGCTTAGATTTGTGGATTGGAATGGGTTTAAGGACCTGTAGCAGTGCTTGTCTACTGAGATACTGACAAAATCCTGTAGCGATAACGCTTTTTGTCAGCTGCTTGTTTGGCGTGTTTGGGTTCGGTTCGAAAGATGTTTGTTATGAAACTGATTCTGATATTTCTCACTTTAATGCTTTATTTATAGGTAAATGCTGGGCTAGAGTGTGGAGTTGGGGTGGAGGATTACAATGATTGGGAGGTGGGGGATGTTATAGAGGCCTTCGACACAGTTCAGAAGAAGCGCACGCTCGAAGAGGCCTCGGCTTCGATGGCAGCTGCACTGGAGGAAGCTGGAATTGACTTGTAGAGAAACCAAGTAATAGCTTGCCAGGCCAGCCCAGACCAGACCATACCTTTTTGATGATGAAGTAACTATTCTTTGGCTGCCATTTTTCATCCAGCCAATGTTCGATGCGAGGACGTGTCCATCGTTCTGTGATTCACGTGAGGAGCAGAGTGGCGCCGAGGAATTGAGATTGTAAGGGTTTTTTTTTTTTAAATGCTACCTGCTTTTGGGCTGTAAATAGTCAATACGTGTATTAGATATCCAATTCTTATTGTAAAGAGGGAAACTGTCATTCGGTTCTCAATGCTTCAATGTAAAAAGCTAAAACTATGGAAACTGCACCAAAATGGAGGAAATGTCAACAAATTTTTAATGATGCTCTAAATTGGCATCATTTTACATCCACAACCATTGTCAAATGGACCGAGTACCTTCTGCACAGGAACTTGTACATACTTCACATTTCACTTACTAATGTAATTTTTCTCGTAACAAATACCATTGGTGGGAAAAAGTCGAGAATTTTCATAACAGATAATAAGAGTGAGCGCTCACTCTTTTGGAGAGAACCGCATCGAGACAAAAGAAATGTTTTATCAAAGGTGAAATGACTCTTACCTATAGGAGCATCCGCCTCTTTTAATCAGACAAGATGTCTATAGTAGGTTCGGACACCTAGCATGAAGCATTCTCCTCCCCATCTTTCTTAAAACTAGTTATTGCATGCTATTAGATCTCGAGTAATGGAAAGTTTCAAATTGGAATCCACACTCTTGTTAGGCGATTGGTTGAAAGTTCAATATGCATATAATTCAGTAAATACTGCATTTATTACATTTAAATGAAAACTCAATCTTCTCCCTCAATCTTTGCCCTCGTGGCTTAATTTAATGAAGTTCCTTATTTTTCCAAGAAAAGAAAATTTGTTGAACTTAAAAAAAGTTATTATTGTATTTGTAAAACTAAAAAATCATGAATTTGAATTTCTCTAACATCACCGGCTAATAATACCAATTATCTCGGGAAGTTAGACTAAAAAAAATTAAAAAAAAAAAAAGAAAAGAAGAAAAGAAGAAAAGAAAAAAGAATGACATTGTATATAAATTGAGAAGTCCATAATTTGATTTTCAGCGGTGGGAGGATAATGAGGCTAAGCATAGCTCGCTCATATCTCGTAGCCCCTCATCGCGTCATCCCGAGCCGACCCATTTTCTCTTCTTCCCTAAAACCTCAAATTCCACTGTTTCTAAGGCCACCAAATTACTCCACCACGCTCTCAGATGTCCAAAAATGGCACGATTGGGCCAAAACCCTCAATTCCTCAGTCGGATCATCCTTTTTGGAGGCAGACAACGGTCCAGATTCCACCCTTTTGAACCGAGAGCTCAAATGGCTGATTGAAGATGCAGTTGAAGAAGAATCAAAATCCCTAAGTTCCGAACTGGGAATTGACGATGTCAAGCGAAATCGTGAGCAGGGCCTGAGAAATGTGAGGTTGAAGGTGGGAATCGAGGAGCTCTATAGGCTGTGGAAGCAGAGGATCCATGAGAGGCGGCCGTTTCAGTACATTGTTGGGTGCGAGCATTGGAGGGATTTGGTGTTGAGTGTGGAAGAAGGAGTGCTGATTCCGAGGCCTGAGACGGAGCTTTTGGTGGATTTGG